CAAAACTTTTAGGATTTCTGATTTGGCTGTTGCATTTTCCTTTTAAAGTTTCTTATTTGGGCATTGCCATTTGTTGTTTGAAATCAACCCACAAAGGGTACCCCCCACAAGCTGCCCAAACCTTCAACTACACCAGACCTTAAATAATGCTAAACCAAACCTGGCTGGTTTCATTTCTGTTTGTTTCCCTTTCATTTCCTTTTCTTTCCATATATTTTCCTTTCATTTCCTTTTCTATCCTTTCATTCTCCTTTCATTTCTCTTTCATGTTCTTTTGTTTCCCTTTCATTTCCTTTTATTTCCTTTTCATTTCTTTCCTTTCCTTCAATCTCCTTTCCTTTCATTTCCAATTCAAATCAAGATTTTCTAGGATTTTTTCTGGATTTCACATTATTTGGGGCCGGCACTTGATCAGGGGGGGGGGTTTATTGTTTAGAGGCGGACATTACCTTCCGGAACTGCATGGACCGAATTTCGTAGGACATGACCCGAACACAAAACAGGTATGATGGTACGAGTTTCCGGGTCGACTCCAGGTTCGGAACCAGATCCGGCAACAGCGGGGATAGGGATAGGGGATCGTTCCGGGGCGACATCTATAATTGAGTCCCATCGATTATACCCAAACACTCCATGTCTGTCGTCATATGCCTGTGACCCCTCAAACCACCACCCCAATGTAGGCAAGAGTGCCTGGGTTAGTATCTGGGTTCCTCGGGGTCGCAGAGTTCTGCCAAAGGCATGAGCTCCTCGTGGAGAAGTTCGGCAAAACGACACGGTTGGGGTTGTGGGTCTAACAACCGGGCCCTGTTTTTGTCCGGACCAAACATGCAAAGAATCAGATCGATTAATTGATTAATTACTATAATTACGATTGAGGAGTCACAACGGTGCCTATTGAAGGATAGGGGTGCCCCAGTCACATCCACAGCCCCTGGATGAGACTACAAACCACTCCAGCATGTGACTCCTGGTAGCTGGTAGAGAGTCTCCGGCTTTCGACCCACAGCGACATGTCCAAAGAGAAGTGCCTTGAGAAGTCACCTGTAGCAAATCCGCGTGATCCCTCATCAAATTGGAGACAGTTCTAGGGTACGAACCGTCATAACTGAGTCATAACTAAATGGCAAAACCTCGGCATCAACCCGTTCAGGTGGACGTCGTCATTCACCTCGGGCCCAATCAATTCATGTTCCTAAAACCCTCTAAACCACCGGCCTACACCCTCCACGGTCCGGACCGCCCGGACGCCAAAACCGCGCTTGCCACCTCCCCCCCATCCCTGGCCTCCCTGTCCTCCCTCCGGCTCCACCGGCTCCAGCGGCTCGCGGTCCCGCGCCATGTGCGACGAGACCATCCGCCGCACCGCCGAGGGGTCGATGCGTGCCCGGCGGGCGGCCGGAGGCGGGGCGTCCACCTGGGGGCAGGTCGCAGTCGGGCCACAGGTGGCGTGCGAAGTGACTATACCTATTGCATATTATACAGTACATGTGCCTTTATCAACCAATAGTTTTTGAGGCAGGCGGCGGAAATTTAACTTTTGGGATTTTGGAAAGAATGGGGGAAATGACCAACAGTGACACTTCACCCAAAAGAAACACGAGGAACGAAACTGCGCCAAACTGGCGCCAAAACTGCACCGAAACGGTGCAACTTGGGTGCACACGTTCTTTGTTGCACTACCGAAGGTCCAAAGTGGCAGGCATACCAATGAAGCGGGTGTTTTAACTCGGGGTCAGGCTTGTCCCCACTACTATCCGGGACCTCCAACCAGGACATCCTTGAACTTTAAAAAAGGTCCAGGTCTGTGATTGAAATTGATCACCATTTTTCCCCACCTGTCAGGTGAGGGTTGTTAGATTTGATGTCAGCTGCCGTGATTGGCTTTCCAACCACCTCTGCAGGCTTCCGAAGGCAGGGGGTTCGAATTTTCGAATCATCGGAATTGATTGCCCTGCCTGGCACCCGATGTGTCCCCAAATAGGAATCACAACAAGGCACAAACATCTCTCCGGACCAGCTGAGCTGTGACTCGGGTATCTGGTAATATATCATTCCCTCCGAACGGCCATATCCTCAGGTTTGGTGGGGACTGACAGGGACCCTCCAAAACCATCCACCCACCCACCTGTCCCATCAACACAATGAAACGGCCTTTTTTCCGGATCCCGTACGTACGGGAGTCGACCATCGTGTCTCTCTCTCTCTCTCTCTCTTCACTTTTGAGCTCGCAAGATCACCTCGATCATCGACCTCCTTTCACCTCGATCCGGCTGAGGGCGCCACCTGATCCTCCTGCTGAACCACCGCGTGCCTCCATGCGACGCGGGCGACATGGCGACCACGGCGGAACGTCGCATGCGTTCTTTTTTTTCCGTGTGACTCGGATCAAGCGTATTGACTGCAGGTATTAACTGACGGTTCAGGCAAAAGCACATCGTTTGTCAAAGAGAGTTCTGGTGTGCGAAACAACATGTGTGTGTGTGTGTGTCAAAGTTCCGCAATCTGCCGGAGGGTTGCAAATCACAAAGACGCTGCATGCTGGTGAAACCTTCCAAATTTGTATACTGTAGATCTCAAGCAATAAGATTCCCAAAGATTCACATCTGTCCTTAATTACTAATTACTAAATAAAGAAAACAAAACTGGCACCCTGCACCACCGTCACGCAATTGTGGGTTATGCTTACATGTAAACAATTCCGTTCAGAATCAAGGCTAGAACGTTTTAGGGACTTGTTGATATTTACATATGTTTGCAATACTTTAAGCCCATTGTTTAGTTACTTTGTCCAGCATGTTTTTTGGATGTAATCTTATGTATCACAATGTATCACACAGGTAATCACAAGTATGCTGTACATCGCAGAACCTTGTCCTTCATGAAATACTGATATCAACAGAATCATAAATGCATTATCCAGGAATAATCGAATTCACAACACCTTATATATATATGCAAAACAAATAAAAACAAAAACTATTATATAACTGGATTGCTGGATTATTAATGATATAAGTAATGAGATCAACATAACCTGATGAACACCTTCCCTTGCTACCGGGAGAAATCATGTCTCTCTCGCTGTGCCGTGGCCTCTGGTCCTTCACCTGCTCTTCGTGGAGGTCTTCCACAGCATCTTGAGGATCCTGAGGCAGTCGCTGAGGCTCCGTTACGGCACAAGTAAGTCGAAGCCAGGAGTTTGGGGCCACCCGCATCGAAGCGTTCGGTGGGGAGAAGGGGGAAACAGAGAAGGCATGGCATGTCGAATCAGGTCAGGAAACATGACGAAATCGCTCGTGGTAGGTTGGCCATGGTTGGCCCGCAATTCGCTCCAGCCGCGCTTGGTCGACGTGTACTTTCCAATGCGTTGGTCAGGCATGGAGATATGCGTCTTCAGGTCGGTGGCGACGGTTCAGCTACCAGGAGCCCCTGGTAGGGGTGGCCCTCAAACCCATGAAGAATAATTATAGGAAGATAAAGGGTTTTCACATGTTATCACACACCAAAACCATGTTTCTTGCTGGGAAAACCCCGGTTTTGGATGGCTTGTGGGGCCCTGGCAAGGGGTGGTTAAGGGGACACACCTGAAAATCTCTAAGTCTCGAGTCTCTCTGGAGCCATTTGTAGACACCCCGACCTGGGGTCTCTAGGTATTTGTGCAACTCCTTTCAGCCGCAACCCAGTCATTACAGGACATGTCGCTCTTCATACTGTCACATCTTTGAAGGACATTCAACAAAAGGAACCTGGAAACGGAACACAAACCATTTCCAACAACACGACTTACAACGATTTTCCCCAGGTGTTCTTACTGGTTTTCACTTGGTGGTGTTGCTCCTGTTCCTGGCTTTCCTCGGTCCTCATGGTCCTGCTGCTCCTCGTGTTGCTCGAGCTCCGCGCCCTCGTGGCGGCGATGTGCTTCGCGTGCTTCGTTCGGAGGAACGGGGCCCTCGACGACAGCTACCAAGCCCAAAGCCTACCAGGACCCGACTCTACAGGTCACCAATTGGTCCAACAACCCTCAACTAACAGCCTGGCCAGGAGGGTGATGGTATTAATTTGTAGGGTCGATGGAGAAACCTATACCCTAGTATAGGGTTTGTGAAGGCGTGGGTTTGGGTTTGGGTGCGTAGGGTAGTTATATGGAGCTTCTTGAGCCTTCATGAATGCTCAAGAAGTGTTACGATGGGACGTGGAGTCCATCTCTTTGTAGCAAAACCGGCATGAACATGGCGTTTTGGGTCATGGATGGTCAGACATCTTTTGCTACGTTCCAAGGGTCTAAACCCCTTTCATGTTTTTCGGGTTGACCGGTTGACCATGCACAAACCATGCATACGTTTCGGGATGTCAACCGAACCCATGCTTAAGGTGGGTGTTCGGTACCGTGACGTCTGTGGTGGTGGTGAAGGTGGATGGAGGTGGTGGTGGTGGTTCGTTGAGGAAAAGAAGCGAACCAAAACGCATTAATAAAAGCGGCTTGCGGCAAGAAGCGACTGGATAAGGATGCAGTCGTGTCAGAACACACACACATTCTAGTTCACCTTCATGGTATGAAAAAACATATAAGCCTGAACTAAGGACCATTCTTTGGTCCTCTGGGAAGAATATGGACGAATCAGAACCCGTGTTTCATTCCATCGGTGCAGTACTTGGCTGTTGGCCGCTAGGTCTACCACCTAGAAGAAGCAAACCAGTACTTCTGCCCCCAGTGGGCTCTGACCCTTCCACGCGATGAAACTGTAAAGATTGCACAAACCTCCCGGCAAGAGACCCAAGATCACAGTGTTCAGAAGATCACAATCATGGGTCCAGTGCTATGTATGGTCATGTGGTTTGCTAACAGGGTACCATCGACGTGGTATCTACCTTCGACGGCTCAGCAAGCGACAAAGACCGACGCCTGTCTCCAGAGCTTCTGCAGGGGCCATGGATCCCAGTCCTCCAATGCACCTGTGCCTGACGGCTTGCTGCAGGATGCAGGTGAAGGCTCTCTTCCGGCACTTCCGCCCGTCCGACCTTGTGCATCACATTTCGACCTTCTTGTTGGGCAAAATAAACACCCTGTCCTCAAATTGAGCACATTAAAACAAAACACGTGCTCTATTCACCCCAATTGGCGCTTACAGCTCACCCTGAGGTGCACCTCGGTTCGGTCGTCCCTTTGGTACGCCCATTTGAAGCCCAGAAAATGCACCAGTGGTGCTGGGGAATAGGAAGACCCGCTGATTTCATGTTGTTGTGTGTTTCGTGTTGTATTTTTTCTATCCTTTAATATAAGGACTTGTGAGGTGATCTCCGGATCTGTTTCCTCTTTTCTTGCTGCGCCGCGTTCTCCTCTTTCATGGAGAACACGGACGCCTTCTGGATCGTTGTGGTTTCCGAGCGGCGATCCGATCGGGGAAGAGCGGCGATCTTCCCGTTTGGTGCACAGAAGTGGTGAACAAAAACACACACACACACACAAATACTATGAAGTATGAAGCATATATGTTTCAGCGTGTTCGCGGTATTCCACCGTTTTTTGAACGACATCCGGGATCGGTACTTTTTGTCTGGAATTTGTTTTGAAGGGCCTTTGGGGGGGAATGTCTCCCCTAATCGGCGGATCTCCCATCTGGTTGAAGAGTGTTAAAGGAAATGTTCATCAACCGGGACAATCACAATCATTGAAATTGAAAGACTGAGTATATATATATATATGGATTGTCATGGCATGTCAGAATAGAAGCTGCAGGAATGTCACACTAGAAGCTGCTCCGATAGGTGCAGCATCCATCTGAGAAAGATATACTACTGAATCATCAGGATACCGACACCAGGCAGCACCACCTAAAAGGATGGAAAGGGTGGCTATTGGAGGGAGAATGCATAGTGTGGGGTGTCTATAAATCATTTCCGTGGTGCCTGTTCGGAGATCTCACAGGTTCTGTTCACACATTTCGTTGAGGACGATACGGGCCCTATATCACTCGCCACTTCGCTCGGAACAAAGGAGGGTCCTCATCGCCGAACGAAAGCGTGCGTTGTGACGAACGAAAGCTTCGGGGGCAGACCTGCACCGTCATCTCCCCAGAAGCGGCCCGCGCCAAAGGCCATGGCATCATACCAGGACCGACGGGTCACCAACCACCCACAAAAAGGGTCAGTGGACACCGTACTGTTACAGTAATACACCCCAAGCAGGTGTTCCTGGAATGGACTACCCTACAAACCCTACACTTGGGTATAAGTGTACTCTTCATTCATTGCTCGAAAGGGACCTCAATTGGAGGTCACTTCTAGGTAGCTGATACTTATGGACCTCCATTTGGACACCATGTTCAATAATGTATTGCCTTTTCTTTGGCGCGCCCTCCTCTGTAAGACGGCCGCAGATGGGATCTTTTGGACCAAAAGCAAACACTACCGGATCGTTCAAGGGCAACTTGAAGGTGGAAGAAGGCGTAAGGCTTGCACGAATTCTCTTTGAGGTCTGAGTTGCTTTGGAGGTCGGGATGATATAGATCGACCATCCCAAAGATCGATATCTGTACGACTACCAAACCAAGCACCGGTTTTATGACAACTTTCTCACCTCTCTCTCTCTCTCTCTCGCTTGATGAACCGCTTGATTCACTTGATGTTTGCTCTTGACACGGAAGCGACTTTGGACTGAACTGAACGGGTCAGGTTTGCCTCGTAGCAACGGCCAACATCGGCCACCGGGAGAGCGGTGGGAAGTCCCCTGTGTCACCTTCTTGCCAGTCGAAACCAACAAAGAGTGGGCCATGCAACCCCTCAAACTTGCTTCAAAAAAGAAGACACGAACTCGAGATGCTCCGGGAGTGGGACTTGAGACGGGCTAAAAATGATGAAACTGGTTTCTCAGGAGTAAGACTGAGAAGAGTGAAACTTGGACCAGTGTCAAATCAAGTCCGCTTGATGCACAGCTTGGACGTATCTGAACGTCATACCGGACAGGTTCTTCTGAAGAGTTGCGTCATCTTGGAGGGGACTCCTTCGTTCAGTGGTGCAAAAATAGTCTTTGGACTTCTACCTACAAGTACCTGCTTTATCTTATATAAGGTTTATGTCATGTCCATTCATGTCCTATTTTCTAGTGTACTTGAAGTCGGGTCCAGGTATAGGCTCAGGTCTTTGCTGCAGCTTGCTTCGAACTGGCCCGGCTACTTTTTAGAAAACAGACCCCCCCCCTCTCCGTGCGGATGTGAGAGGGGACCATCCCGGAGAGAGGGGACCATCACAAACAGAGTAATTAATTCTATTTCAAGCAGCCTGATGGGCAACTGGACGAAGCCCCCCCCCCTCTTAACCTCCGTTCGGCTGCTCCCTTTGTTTCGGTTGGATGGGACGGGGGTGGGTGGGTGGTTGGAGCAGGGGGGGGTCCGTCCCCAGCGAAGCTGAGATGGGCCGCTCGGAGGGATTAATGCATCACACCGCCACCCCCCCCCAACATCGCAGCGTCAGGTCCAACCTCTTCGGTCAGGTTTGTTCCTAGCCAGATTGGAAAACTCCCCATAGCTTCGAACAGCTTCCTAGATGCATTACCCCCAGCCTTCCTTCTTGACTGGTGGTGTGTGTGTGTCCAAAACCCCCCTGCCGCGCCACCACGCAGCACGTCTCAGGTCACCTTTCTTCGGCAGGAGTCCGGCAGGGTCCGGGGTTCTCTCGGTGAGATCTGCCTCTATGAGGTAGTTGTGGCCTTGCCAAGGAAATGTGGCAGTTGAACAGTTGAAGGCAGTCAAACAGTGTATCAATGTGTCCACACTTCCTCCAGCCATGAAATGGAACAAACCCTAACGACACGGTACGACCTTCAATACGTATGGTGTTTATGTTGGGGTGGTCCGTTGTCACCTTCAACTGTGACATCCACCAGCGTTGTCTAACCTGTTGACTCACCTGCGCAAGCGGCCGCAAGCGTCAACGGAGGCCACTCAACTGAGGCTTTTGGAGCTGCGCATCAACCTAGGATGAAAAGCGTCAAATGATGAGCTACACAGCTACAGCCCCTAACTCTCCAACAATCGGAGGATCTACCTATCCCTCTCCAAAACCTTCACAAATACTCCATGTGTAGAACATATGCCTTCATTCACCCCTGAAACCACCCCATAGCGAAACACATACCACACTATGGAGTGTTTGGTGGTGGGGAGACTGAAGGATACTGACAGGATGGCCATCTCCAAAGTGGTTCTTCCAAAATCAACTTTCAGGACACCCTCCAACGTCCTCATGGTGAGGTGGAACATGTCTCTGGACCGGAAGACGGAGGAACACCGAGCTGCGAACAGGGGGGGGTGGAACGAACCATGAGGACCCCATTCAGGGCAGTGGGTCAATGCCAACTCATCCTTCGATCAAATGTTCAGGGTGGCGGGGTGGCCAGGGTATAGCTTGCCGTTTTGGGAGATCTGAAGACATGAAGAGCGACATCTGAAGACCTTACCCCCCCTCCAAGTACAGCCCCAGAACTCCAGGCGAACCAATGCCAAAAACCTTTTTTGGTAAAGCCTATATGGGACGCCATATACCAAACGCGATATTTAATCATAATCATTTATAGTATATATGGCAAACACAAGCCTTACACTTCAAGTTTTGAAGCGCGTCGGGCTCCATATAAAGGTAACCACTGTGACTTGAGCCATTCGAGTTTGTTTGTTTTCGAGACCGAGGGAAGTTTTGAGACCAAGATGAGATAAGACCGCTGGAAGAGACATGGAACCTGAAAACCACTCCCAGACACTCCAGGGGACAGGCATATTATATTTACCTACATGGGGGTGGTTGAAGAGGGGTCCATGTGGGCAGTCCTATCCCAGACAGGTCGTGTCTGGACTGGTTGGTGGAAAACATGAAACACGTCCATCTGGGACTCGCCATGTCCGGTGAATCTGGCACTGATCGACCATTTAGACTGCGTCCTTCCGCACCGCCTTTGGGCCAAACTTGAGGGAAGGAAAGAATTCCTCAATTTCAACCACCGCTGCGTTTTGGTGCCCCAAATAGATCCAAATAGCACGGAGAATCAATAGTTTCCTATATAGTTTCTGCACCAATTCTGTTCGCCCAGAAGCTGAACAGTTTCGCCCTGAACCTTCAAGCTGCTACATGTTGGTTGGGTCCAAAACCCTAGTGTTGAGGGTCAACACCCTAACAAACGGGTTGGGTCTTTTCGGGATTCCTTTTTTTTCTGACCCACAACCCTTTTTTTCTGACCCACATCCTTTTTTTCTGACCCACAACCCTTCTTTTCTGACCCACAACCCTT